CCTTCCGGGGAGTAACGTGGTAGGAAGCTGTTGTATTTACCACCCATTGGGTGTCGTTATCTGACATATGGAGGCATTCTTTTTCTTCAACAGAGAATAATGCAATATCCTCTGAGACAGTAACTGCAGTATTCCTATCTTCGGTCTTTGGCTGTCTATTGCCTTGTTTTTTGTTCTCCCTTCAAGGCATAGCAATATTTCTTTATGTGGCCCTCTTGGCCACAATGGTAACACTTGAACCTTCGCCAGCTCGTACCTTCTCTGGACTTCCCTCTGTCTTGTGATCTTCTTCTGCTGCGTCCTCTACTTTTTCATTTTCCTTTGCCTCTGCCTCTACCTTTATTTTCTGTGACGAGGGCATGGAACTGATCTCCACCAATGTCTTTCTTTCTTGTTTCTTCACTAAATAAAACATCAGTGACCATGTTCGTGGTCAGTCTTCCTCCTGTTGCAGAGTTGCTAAGGGACACCACTAACGTCTCCCAACTATCTAGCAAGGAGCTAAGCAGCAATAGGGCCTACATGTCATCATCCAACTCCATTTTGACAGTTACTAGTTGGTTCACCAGATTTTGGAACTCACTGGTGTATTCTGCAACAGAGACGCTGCTTTTCAGCTTCAGATTTACAAGCCTTCTCATTAGGAGGGCTTTATTTCGAGCAGTCTTCGACTGGTACATGCCTTCCAATTTTATTCAAAGAGCATAGGTATTAGTCTTTTGGGAGACATGGTGGAAGACACTATGATCAATCCATTGTCTGATCTGACCAATGGTCTTTTGGTTCTTCCGCTTCCAATCTTCATCCTTCTCCGCAGATGGTTTAACTCCATTAAGCTCAATGGGGTCAAACAAATCTCGACAGTATAAGATATCTTCCATTCTGGGCTTCCAAATTGCATAGTTGGAAGCATTCAGCTTGATCATGGATCCCAAAGTTGATGTTGATTCCTCCATCAATAATTGTCTCTACAGAAAACGATCTCTGTCTGAAAAATCAGACTTTGCCGTTGAGTCCGGACTGGTCAAATTAGTCGGAAAAGCACTTCGGAATGCCAAAAAAAAAAATTCAAATTTTTGAAATCTAATTTGCAAAATTTGACCATACAGATGTGTTCGGAATATTCCAAATGGTTGGAAAGCGCTATTGGATCGTCAAAAACGGATTCAGAATGGCTCGGATCAAGCCAGAACAGGTTAAATGGTTCAGATTAGTGAAATCTGGTATGCTTGAGAAGCACCAGCTAATTCCTTTGATCTGGCTAGTGTCAGGTTGACGTCAGTAGCGGTGGCGTGGCTTGGTCAGCAGCTCGGTTAATAGCTTGGTCAATGCGGTTCAACTTTGGTCAATGGCTTGGGCGGCTCGGTTTTGGCTCAGCTCCAGTGGATTTTCAAAAGAAAAAAAAAGATTTGTTGCCAAGGAGTTTTGAACTCCTGACTTCCAGCACCAACACACCTGGGCTTTAGCCACTCTGCCAACACAAGACTTGTGTATATTTTCACAAATAAATATTTATTACACAAAGGATTGAAGGGTCATCTTCAACTTCAGCTTCCTTGTCGGGTTGAACTTTCTGGCAATCCTCCAACGAGTCTCCAGCGACGCGCGTGAGGGTGCGTGGATAATCTTCTTGGATTGATTTTTCTGGTTTGGAATGCTTTCGTCGAGACAGTCCTTCTAGTGTACTCAAAGCGTGATTTCGAGCAACTCAAAAAACTTCAGTTTCGAAAAAAAACACCTTTTTTTTTTCCTGAAACTCGTTCAACTTGGCTTTGATACCACTTGTTAGGATTAAAACACATCCAAAAAATGATCAGCAAGCAATCACACACTTTGAGACATAAATATTTATGTGGTTCGGCCCAGTGCCTACGTCCACGGGAGAAAGAGAGAAAGCTTTACTATGATCAAAACAAATACAAAAACAGAGGAGTTTCACTCTTTCAACTCAACTCACAGATCATACACTTCTCACAACTCTCTCTTTTCTTCACTCTTGATCTCTCTCATTGCAATCTCAGCTCACAGCTCTTCCCATTTATACACAAACGGGAGAGCTGCTTGCCAACAACCAACCACCAAAATAAATGGAGAGCTATCAATATAGCCATTCTACAAGGGGATAGCTCGGCTGAATGTCTCCAAAATCTCTAGCGCAAATCTGCAACCTCCATTCTTAACTTCCACACACAAAAAAAAAAAAAAATAACTTCACATGGTGTGGATTCAACAATAAAAGGTTACTAAGACGCATTAGATAGGACAAGTAAACTAAATATGCACTCAAGCTGTGAGAGAGAGAGAGAGAGAGAGAGAGAGAGAGAGGCCAATGTTTAATAATAAATGTGAGAGTTTCGCTCAAGTGAACTAAATAAGCCAATAATAAGCTTGGGCGTTTGGCCAATAATTTAAAAATAAACTCATTATTGTCATCGACACAATTTCCATTAGACCTGTATTGCAGTACTCTGGTTATATACTGATCATTGGCATAGTAAAAAATGTGGAACTAACATCCAAGAAAGCCATGAACACCAACTAGTTTACTAACCTCTTGTGTGCCACTGCCACCTCAACCCTTTTGGCCTCACCCATTTGAGCCCCCTCTCTCTCATTTACAAAACCTATCTCTTTTGGTTTCCTCTCTCACACAAAATAGAACCCAACTCTCAAAGCATAACAAAATCAGAAGTCTCCATATGAATGTAATGACTGGGAAAAATTTAAGCTTTTATTCAACATAATCAAGCACTAATTAAGTTTAATTAATTATAATTATGTCCATGAGTTTCCCTAATCATTTTAGTTTAGAACCTATCCTTTAATTTTTTGTGCATTTGTGTGCCTTATTTTACATGCACGTAGACCTAATCTGATTTGAGATTTGAAAGACAGACTCTCCGGGCCCAAAAATTATTAAATATGTGTTAATTATGTGTATTTTATTATTATTAGTTGATCCTGCCAATTTCGTGAAATTCTAGTGCATAAATCGCACATTTTCTATGTCCAAAACTACATAGTGTTTAGGTAGGGTTCTGGGGGAAGCAGAAAACCCTTGAAACTAAGCAAATAATGTTTTTTTGGGGTCCTAGAGGAATAGCTGAACCTCTTTCTCTCTCTTTTTTCTCCCATTTGTCACCTTTACCTCTAATAATATATGGAAAATGATTGGTGGCCCTAAAAAATTTGCCCCTAATGCCCCTAATTTCCATTTTTAGAAACTGTTTTCTTTTTTTCTTTCTTTGGGCCATTTGACCACCTTGTTTTATATATATATATATATATACTAGCGGTTGCCACATGTGATGCGTGTACTATTCAAATAAATAAAAATAAAATAAAAAATTTATTATATATTGTGTGTTAGTCAAGTGGTAAGAGTCTTATTTATTTGAAATAATTCAACTCTCCTCCACTCATCTATCGATTTTTTTTTTAATTTTAAATAAAAAAAGTGAACACGTAGCAGCATAAGAAATAAAGCTTCAGAACACCATAAGAGGTGTTCACTTTATAATAGTATCATCTATCTAATTTTTTTTTTATTTCAAATAAAAAAGTAGACACGTGGCAACATAAGAAACAAGGTTTCAAGACACCATAAGAGGTGTTCACTTTATAATAGTATAGATAGATATATGCATGAACCTGATTTTTGAATCTAGGGTGAGGACTTGAAGAATTTTTAAGATTCAATCTTAGCCATTAGTTACAACTTTGGTTTAGGGTTAACCTAGGGCTAGTTTAGGTTAGGGTTGTTGGGGGTTGAGTTAGAGGGATAGAAGCCCTGATTCCTCATTCAGCCACTTCATTCCCATCCTTGAAGTTCTAAAGCCTAAAAATACAAGAACACTCTCTTCTCTCTCTAAATTTCTCTCCTCCTCTATAGAATTGTAACTTTAAAAATGAAGCATAAAACATAAATTTAGCAATATACACACACATATACTTCCATTAATTCAAACTTAGGTAGAGAGAGAGAGGGAGAGAGAAGTGATATCACAAAGAGCGGAAGAGGACAGGGAGTTATGGTGGTCCAGTGAAGAAGAAGAAAAAACTTGCCACTCCTATAAATAAATTTACACAAATAAATAGAGGAAAATGATATTTTTATACAAGAATAACGGCAAATTATAAAGGTGTGCTTGAAATATAAAATGTTTCTTGTGATTTTAAAAAATTATATTTAATTGCTTGAAGTTTATAATTTGATAACAAATATGTCTTTTTATTAATAAATTATCATTTCAATTACTAACATTTAATGATATTAGAATTATATTTCAATTAATAATTTATGTAATTTTATTATTATATATGATAGCAATTAAAAATTTTATTTTTTTAATTAATTTTATTAAATAAAAAAGTCTGACAATAAAATATTTGTAATTTTTCGAATCACAAAAAATAATTCGTATTTTAAATAAATTTCAAAAAGTGTATTTGTGATTTACCCTAAAAATAATGTGATAATTAAATGAATGTCAATAAATTCTTTGTTTAGGCTACAAAACTCATCAAGTAATTATGTAGTATGTTTTTTTTTTTTTTTTTTTTTTTTTTAAAAATTTTTTTTTTTTTTTTTAACCCCCTCATGATAAATAAAATAAATATTTAAAACTTGTTTAAGATTAATTTATTATATAAATAAGTTAAACTTAAACATATTTCGAAACTCGTAAAGTTATCAACCTAAACTTCTCAATGCAGTTTGTTTGAAAACTTATCCAACATTATATCTAGGTAATTGAGTAATTATTTTTACAAAAATTTCATATTGACAATGGGTGTACACATGACATGACCATGTAATGTTTTGAACTTGTAATAATTTTTTTTTTTTTTTTTATTTTTAAAAATTTGACAACAGTTGCTAACTACACATTTTGACGTTAGCCCTTTAAATACTACACTTGCGCTACTTTGCCTCCTTGTTCATTACAACATGGTTGATTGTTTAGAAATTAACTATAATTGCTAACTAGATTACATTCACACAAATTCAATAGTTTAAGGAGCATATTGAAAACATGTAATATTTTAGGGGTGCAAAATATAATTTAACCTATTTCTTAAATGAAGATTCCCACATAAATGCCACATCTCCCCAACCCAATGTATCACAAATTGCCTCCATCTCCTACATCAATAAATTAACACAAAGTACATCCATAGATGAATAAAACACTAGAATATTCAAAATTAAACAAAATTTGCAGAGAGAATCTCTTCCATCATCTTTTCTTTGACTTCTTGGATGACTTCCCATGTGAATATCTTTCAATTCCTTCCACTTCATCATCTTCTCCCCCTCTTCTTTTCTTCTTGCCACCAGCTTCTTTAATTTTCTACAAAAATTTCCGAATTAAGAAATATAAATCATTCAAATAGAGGCAATAATAATATTAACAAAAATAAAAAGACCAACAAAGTGACTAAATTTCTTATTTTTAGATACAGGTCGTGACCAGGAGTGAGGGCCACCCATTTTCTTATTCTCCTCTCTACTAAATCTGTAAATTGACAAGTTCTCAACTGCAAACTTCAGTGAAATCCCATAGTATAACAAAAAATTCAAGGGCAGTCTGCAAAAGAGACGCATGCTATTGTAACAAGTATTCCATTGAAACGGGAAATTTTGGAGCGTAGCCAGCAAACAAGAGATAAATACAAAGGCAGCAGTCAACCTGCTGCAAGTTTGTAACCAATATCATTATCGTATGGTTAGTTTGACTAATATGACTATCAGCCACAGATACCTGATGTACTGACTAGTTCCTAGCATCAACTTGAATTACTATTTTATCATTCAATTCCTATAAAATACATGATGGATATTATAGACATCCTGATCATCACCACAAAGCCAATCAGAGGACAATACAACATGGCAAAGGCTAGCAAATAATCAATATGAAATTCATGAATTTGGTAGGCAAATCTTCCTAATGAACTCCATCCATTAAACCCTGGAAACCGACAAAAACACCAATTCACTATGTCCCAATTGATACTGCAAGCTCAGTTCTGGTCCTCATAAATTAGAAAAGATAATAATAGAGAAGTTAACGACTTCATACCATATCCGCTATTCTTTTGGCCTCTGTGACGCGCTCCAACAACAGCAGAACTTCTTCTTCTTGGGCTGGAAACATGGGTAACTTCTTACCTGAAAGATGGATAAAATGTTAGTGAGGAACAGTTTATCATGGATTGACTACCACACCAGTGTAATGTATTTCCTACCAATAAGCTTCTCTATCTGTATATACCACTCCAACTCATACTGACTAACTATCGAGATTGCAACCCCAGATCGTCCTGCCCGAGCGGTTCTTCCCACTCGATGTATGTAATCCTACAGGCCATTCATAAATTAGAAAGTTAAAGCACATCAGATTAAGCGAGGATAACAACTTTCTTTTCCTAATATTGCTGTTTTAAGTAAAATCCTAATCAATAACACATTCATTGTCAGGGATGTCTAGGTGCATGATTTCCCATGCTTGCGACTAACTGCAGGAGCTTTAAGAAATTATATACATAAACATTTAAAAGAACTAAGGCAGAAGTAAACAAATGATAAAATCAATAAGAATACGAAGAATATTACCCAGAAAAAAAAAAAAAGAGAAAAAAAAGAAATTTTCTTTTTTACATGAAATAAGTATGTGTTAGTGGAAACAATTGTTCCTAGGGATTGTGACAATATATAATCTAGGTATGAGTGGAAACATAATCAAAGTTGTGATGGATAATTGAGAGAAACATTTAAGCACCAACTCAACTAGGAACTTAATGAAGAAAAGGAAAATTTGCCACACTAATCAAATGCTACTTTAACTTGGTTAGACCTAATTTTGTAAGGGAATTCTAGATCATAAATAGTAACTAATGTATAGTGCAAAAAAGCATAACCCATAAAACAATGGAAGTATGGAAAGTAACGGCACCAGATGGTGCAAAGGTCTAGGCTGAAGTGCCAGATACAAAACCTGCATTTAGACACCAAATGGAAAGGATGCCTAACCTTCGAGTTTGACGGGATATCATAATTGATGACCATATCCACAGATGGAATATCAAGTCCTCTACTGGCGACATCAGTGCAGACAAGGATATTACACTCTCCAGCCTTGAACTTGTTTAAGGCTCCAAGTCTTTTCGCCTGCCACACATATTTCTTAGACAAGGTGACAGTAAATTTGAACTAAACAGGAGTGATGCAAATGAAGACCACTGAGTATTTAAAGCAAACCCATGATACAATATTGTCAATCTATCATAAAACCCATGTACATACCTGGGTCATATGACCACTAATAGGGATGGCCCTTAAACCAAGGTTTCGAAGCATTTGAGCCAAAAGGCCTGTCGAATCACATGTTCGAGTAAAAACCATTGACGTACTTCCAGATTTCTCAGTCAGAATATATACAAGATAGCAATTCTGCAGCCAATAGCAGAGATGAATTCAGAACTTAAGAACAATACCACAAGATGATAGGGTGGTGCACATTATGAAGGCAGTTTTTGCATCATCTATTCCAATTGGGACCCATGCTAGGTACACAAGGCCACACACACTTTCCCCTCACTGGGAACCACTAACTATCTAGTTTGCCAATTATAAAAGCAAGCCTAACAGGATAGTTTTCACGTCTGCTTCTTGGTGCTAACCTCATACACATCTTTAATAACTAAGCATAAAATTGATTTAAGCCTTCAATTTATTTTGCTTGGTATTTAAGTTTTTAATTTCAACTTCAACCAAATAATCAGATATATTAAGACAAGAAGATGATCTGCTCTTTGAACGGCAGCCTCAGGGATAAACTAAATAAAATAATCACTATATAATCAAAACCAACTGATTCACACTTTTTTTTTGTTCTGTTGTGTACTTTATCGTTCTTTTTTTTTTGGCTGATTGTTGGCTACTGTTGCACCTTCTTTTTGGTATAGTACTGTAACATTCTTCAACTAGTTCAAAATTAACACTGTAGACAGAATGCACTGCCTCCTGTTGCCATTTCCTATCTCAAGATTTTCAAAAAATGAACTACAACAGAAACTCCAAATGCTATAGGAGGAAACCTTGTGCTTCGCAGGGACAAAGAGATACTGCTGCTTCAGTGAATCAACAGTGGAATATTTAGATGCAGCCTCAATCTGAGAGGATTTACAAATTGATGTTAGATACAGATTAATGAAGAAAACCATGCAGAAAAATGATGCAGTGACAATTATTATTTATCATACCTTCACAGGATTCCTCAGGCAAGCCCTCTGGAGCTTCCTTACCTGCAACAACCAGGGAGTAACTTGGTCAACAGTTTCCTTACTTGTAAGTAACACACCAATTTCTTGAAATCACGACATATATTTAACCAAGGTTCTAACAAAAGCACACAATAATTTATTGTTTCCTGCTTCTATCATCCATCATATTTAAAGTTTCAGGTATATTAAAGTTTGAGTGGGCTCTAATAGAGGGAACATGGTAAGAGCAGAAGAAGGTTCAAATAATTTCAGCACCTAGATTATTTGCACAGAGTATGAGGGGCCATGTGATTCAGAACACAATCACATCACCCATCAAACAAAAGAATACATCACATGGAAGATAGCAGAATCATTGGCTTCATGTCCAAAAAAAAGGTTTTCCCTTTTTCTATTTATTATAACTTTTTGGGGTTTTCAGATAAATATCAATTTAAAGCATAAAATAGAGACCAAATAAATAAAAAATGCAGGACTACAAATCATCAGATTTCAAAATCCTGCTTTTGGACTCCCACATACTATTATTTTGTTTGTTGGCAACACTGCAGCAAGAATGGACACTACTAGTTGTCTTTTTCTACTTCGTCAAGCAACCACTGTGATTAAGAACATAAGAAGAATTAACAGAAAGAAAACAAGTCACCCATCTTGCTTGAGCTTTTGTTTACTTTTTTTTGCTATCCAAGGCCAATTGACAATCTTGATACAGCTGAGGATGGCATTCAAAAACACCTGGCTGAGAGATGAGGCAGTAGGGAACCTATTATTTCAAAGTCAAACTCTCAGGTTTTTAGCTTGGGAGGGTGGAAGATCCCATTAATCCAATAAAGTCCTTAACCTCTTGTATATTACAAAAATAATATCTTGCACAGGAGGCTGGCAAGCTCAACATCCAATTTACAGTAAGCGTTGTGGGCCATCTCATTCCCTAAAACTTATAAACCATGCTAACATTAGATTTAAATATTATAACTGGATCAACTCAACAAACTTCATGTTTGATTAGACTGAGATACAAATCAACTTTATGTAGCACTAACGATTTTTTATGGTTGGCTAAACAGTAGAGGGGATATGTGTGGAAATGAGAAACATAACCTTAATGCTTCTTCTTTTTTTTGTTGGTAATTTTGTGTTTAATTACCAAAAAAAAGATATCATAATGTGACTAAATACACGTACCAGGTACAACCACCCATAAGGGCATACACCCCCAAAGAGAGAACACACCTAACCTGAAACTTAGCCAAAATAAATAAAGCGCATCACAACTAGATTGGCTAGGGGGAGGGGTAAAACCTTAAAGTCAACATATGGCAACCAATAAACATCCCACATGGTAGAAATACTAGTTTGGTGTAAATATCCATTTCATTAGAGAAATGAAATAGTCCCCCACTGGTCACAACAAAACCAACTATTACAGGGCACAAAGACTCCAGTTGAATAGCACAACAAGAGGCAAAGCGGGAGATCTCTCGCCCCAAAAAATAAACGCTTCATTTTCTGACAGAACATGTATAAGAGCCCAGGATGAGCATGGTCAGACAGGATAGGTGAGCCAGATGGCTGATAAACACCTCTCCCCACAGCAACATGCTTGGCCATGCATGGTTGCCATCCATCTTCAATCTCATGACAACACCAACATAGCCCTGGAAATAACACCAACCAACAGACTGCATTTCCCAAAGCCCCCTCTCTATCTCCTCACTGAAAAAGTGATGCATACAGCCAAAAAGAAGTACTAGCCCATTGTTGAATGGATGCCATAGCATTCACTATCAAAGGCACATTACTAGTAGCCGCCAGCATGACCAATACCCAAGGAGGTTAAGGCTAAACAACTACAAACAGAACCCACAAAGCTCAGGACTAACAACACTCAACATCGGAACTCCGAGGAAGCTACCTCCAACCAAACATGCAAACCCAGCACAAGAGCAAAGATACACCCCACCGAAATCTTCGCCCTCTCTCCTCCAATGGCCTCACACTGAACTAAGGTGGTGCGACGCATGGCACACCGCTTCTCATCACCATAGCCAGGAAAAAATGATAAGAGAACAAAGACCCACCAGTATACAGGTCCTGCACCCCTATTGGACAACCAAAACCCGAAGACCAACAAGTTAGCAAGCCAAATCAAAGCACACCCAGCCAAGAGAAATGTCTAAATCCCCTGAACATCCATAAAAGGACACCAAAGACACTACTCAGACAAGAACTGAGATGGAGATTTGACTAACACCCTAACGATGAATAAACAATTTTTTTTTTTTTTTGGGTAACAAAAATGGATGTGCAGATAGGCTACTCCACACATCCGCTGGGGAGCATTGCCCCTTAATACCCACAAACATCTGCTGAAACCAACACTGCACTTACGTCGGGGCTGAGTTAAGGTTCTAGCGTACTCTGGGCATTAAGAAGTAGGTGTAACCCCAATAATCCGCTATGGGGGAGACTTGAACCCAGGCATTGAGAGAGGTAGACAAGCTCCTTACCACTAAACCAACAGATCATTGGTAACAATGAATAAACAATAATCCAAGGGTATAAAGAGGTTCTCTATGAAAATCTCCATCTTCTCCATGATATAGAGCCATGGGAAAAGCTCAAGAGATGTGTGAAAATCTCCATCATCTCAACACAACCTTTAGACATGTATGGGCGTCATGCGTTTCAAGGATACAAAAAAAACTAAAGGAAGATTATGTCCAAATAATTCATTATTGAAAAACCTGAAGATACCTCTCCGTTTTTTTTGGAAACAGCAATTTCAAAATCAGGTTTTTTTTCTCAAAAAGTTTTATGGAGTTTCTGATAAATATTGGAAGCAGGGAGCTTGATGCGTACAATAATTATTGAGGAAGGCAAGAAGTGTCAATTGGATAATAAAAGAACATTTCAAAAAACATTTAACTGCAGTTTTGTATACAGATAAATTTTCATGAGTTCAAAAAAGCAAGTCAATAAATGAGACAACAATCAGGTAGAACTTATGTAGCCAATACAAACAATCATGAACTCATAACCAAAAAACAATAATTTTTTATGAATTCATAAAACTAAATAAAACTTGTAAGTACATGGGAAAAAAATACTCGAACATGTATTTTTTGGTCATAGTAGTAGGAAAAATATTCAAACACATGCCTTTTTTGTCATAGTAGCAGAATATAAATATGTATTTCGTTCGCGAGGAATAACACTCAAAAGTTCATCAATTGCTTTCTCAAAATCCTCATTTAGCAACCTATCTGCTTCATCCAATACCTGACAAATGTACAAACAAGCCACACATTTAAGAACTTACTTATTAGACACATATTATTCATGTAACACATCATTTCGTACTTGAAGTCGCCATGTTAGGCACCAATTCCAAAATCAAGTAACCCCATCAAGTGGAATAAATTATAATAAACAATGAAGTTTCTGAATAAAAGTCATAATAAATAATGAAGTTTCTTAGTAACTTGCCAACTAATCACAAATAAAACATATAGGATAAATGGCTGCAATGTTAACATGCTCCATTCGCATAGACAAACATAAGCTTTCCATTTATGGGGTCACATATCGAGGTACACAATGGGAATCTAAAAATTGATAATGAGATACAATGAGAATTAACAACCTTGCATATGAGAATTGAGTGAACTTTTGGCATGCAACAATTATATAGGTCCCTTTGGCACATTAGAGCTAGTCTGCTACAAATTCTTAGTGAAAAATATAGTGCACTTGGCACGTTTATAATCACAGCACATAAAATAATGAGATAAAGAGATAACCTCTGAGAAACTTAAAACAAGGCATAAAACATCTTACCAAGTATTTTAATGTCCGAAGAGAAAAACCTTTAGTGTTGGATAGATGATCCAAAAGACGACCAGGAGTTGCAACCTACAAAGCCGACCAAAACTAAATGAATGCACAAAATAAACAAACTAAAATTAAATTGGGATAATAAAGAAAAATAAAAAAAGAAATTCCAATAGATCAACATATCTACAGTTGGGGCAAGATCCTTAATGGCATTAAAAAAATCATTGAGTGATCAGACAACACTGAATTTCATAAATTATTTGTCACAGTAATGATTATGTCATGGAAAGCAAAACACAAACTTAGTGTCCCATTACTTTGAAGTTTGACTTCTAGTTGTGTTTCTACCCTCAGAAGGGGTTCCCATGAGGCTCATAGAATTGTCCACTTCTACCAACATACCAAAAGTCTTTAATCAATATTCAATTGTAAGAACTTCAAATCTGAGAAAAAGAAATATGCTTGCCAACATGATTTGTATTAGGGAAAAAATCACATTTCTGTAGTTCATGGCAAACTGACACCCAAAATTATGGGCATTTAACAATAAAGGGCATACATGTCAAGGGGAAAAAAAATAGAGAGCAAAGATACCCATGCTATAAATAGGAACACTTACAACGATGTGTGGTCGCTTCCCAAGGGCAATACTTTGTTGCACATTGTCAACCCCTCCAACAAGCTGCATAAAAAGTTTTAGAAGCCACTATTATAATATTTGAAAAGTCTAAAATAAATTTAAAAAAAAATTCAAGAATAAAAAAAAGATGAGAATTACATATTAATTTTTTAAACTTTCAATGTCCAAATAAGACATCTGAAATTTATACATGTGATGCATATAATTTAACAGAGAAGCTTACCACAGCACACTTTACACCGATGCCAGATCCTAAAGCTTCAAACTGTTCAGCAATCTGGATTGCAAGTTCCCTAAAATAAGGAAAAGAAAACTGAATAAATACTGTACTAAAGGTTATCCACGAATAAGCTTTCTTCTTGCAAACAAACAAATGAATCAGAAAACAAACCGTGTTGGGGAGAGCACACAAGCAAAAAATGCTTGAGGAGTTTCCAAAAGGGCTTGGAGAATGGGGAGTGCAAAAGCTCCAGTTTTACCAGATCCTGTTTGTGCAAGCCCAATCAAGTCCTTTCCTAGATGCACAATCCATACAGCAGAATCAGCAAGTTGAATAGACTCAGAAAACAAATTGGCCCATAAAGTATGGATCGCTTAAAAAAAGGTTATATTTAGAAAAATGCTGCAAATGAAATGGTCCCCTTAACAAACAAGATCCTGATAAGGAATGGACAGTGTGAAATGAAGAAACAAAGAAAACCTTCCAGTGCATGAGGAATAGCTTCAGCCTGTATCTTGGATGGGTGTTTCCAGCCTAGATTATCACAAGCCTCTATCAATTGGTCACATACTCCCAAATCTTTGAATGACTTGACTTCTTCTTTGTCCTCTTCCATTTTAAACTACTAATCTGCCAACAGAGAAAAAAAAATAAAAAATAAAAATGTAATCAAGTTAAATTATTGACACAAATCCTATTGAAAACATCTACATCTACAGCTATCTACAATAAAAATCAAATTCTGTAACAATATTTATCTATTTATACTATTCTATAATGCTCACAAACATGTCAAATATTATTAGAACAAAATACACACTGCAGTGAACAACAACAGCATCCTTAGAATATCCTACAGATTGCAACCAATCAAGAATGAATGTTCCTAATAATAATTAGTACCCATTATTACACTAAATACTTAAGATGCCAAATTATCATGACAGCTTTCATCAACTTCAAAAGAATTCTACTTTTGTATAGCAAATCTGCTTATAATTATATGAAAATAATGTGACAATGCTTGAAAGTATCTAGGTATGTTAGGAAGACCACGTGTTCATGAGCCCGACCAATGAAATGTTATAGTTTGTCCACATCTCCTTGTTATTAGGGCCATGCATTCATTTCGCCCCTTACTATTTGTTGGGCACACAGCCAACGTGAAATTCCTGGAAGATAGGATAATTATTCGCAACAGAGAGAGCATTTGAAGAACCATTACAAAATTTCCATGAAAGGAGAAATTTCTTAGAGATCTTGTAGAAAATGTAACCAGTGCCACTAAATTGAATTGGCTACAAGGGCACAATTGAAAACAAAACGAACCTTGTTATCCAATTTAATATTGTGAATCTGCAGCTATCTACTCTATTACCCAAGACTAATGTAAGTCATCAACCTTGCCCCCCCAAAATAGACCATCCTCAAATCTACAAATGATAAGAAAGCTTATCAATGGCTTCACTACCAATAGTCGCCACAAGAGCACTTCCCACCATTAAAATGATGAAACCTGTAAGGATCCCTCAATACAATTTCCCGCTGGATAATTTTACTGACAAACTTGAAAACAGAATGGCAATCACCACAAACGCGAAGGTTCTTGAAAATTCTAAGCCTCGAATCTTCTGGCACATTGATCAACCCATATGCTAATGCAAGTCTCTCGCTGTGGTTCCAAAGATTGTGCTCCTTTTGTTCTTCGTCAGTGTCATGCAATGCGAACGTTGTGTCTGGCACATAACCTGCTTCTGTAATCATCTTCCTAAGCTCCCCTAATTTCACATGTATCTGCCGAGTCTGCGGGTGGGACTGGTCTCCAATGCCAAACGAACTCACTTCATTTTTCAACTTGATCCAACTACAAGCCGGTTGCTTCTTTATGTGATATGATTGCATTTGTCCCCTGACATTCTCTACATGGTCCCATTTCCCAGAATTTGCACAGACATTTGAATAAAGAACATAAGCTGAATCGTCTGATGGGTTGGAATGGAGAAGATGCTCAGTGGCTTTCCTTCCCAACACCAAATTTCCATGGATCCTACACGCTGCCAACAAACTTCGCCAGACAAAGTCATTTGGTGGCACGGGCATTTCTGTAATGAAATTTTCAGCCTCAGAAAGCCTTCCTGAACGTCCAAGAAGATCAATAATGCATACACAATGCTCTATTCCAACTGGCACACCAAACTCCTTAGTCATCAAAGCAAAATATGAAAGGCCCTCATCCACAAGACCACCATGACTACAAGCAGATAGAAGAGAGACAAAGGTGACGTGGTCAGGCTTCGATCCTAGTCTTAGCATATCATGAAAAGTTTCTTTAGCTTTATGGAAAGAACCATGTCTGGCAAAAGCGGAAATTAATATGTTCCAAGATAATCGTGATCTCATGTTTGGTTCAGGAAGCATTTTCAGTGCATCATCCATTTCTCCACACTTTCCATACATATCCATTGTAGCGTTTGTGACATACAAATATGAGTCAAATCCAAGTTTAGTGGCCAGACCATGAAGCTGTTGCCCTTCATCCAAAATAGCCAAGTTGGCAGACGCAGCAAGTGCTGCAGAAAAGCTGAACTGATCTAAATCTACTCCAGCTCTTTGCATATCAATAAAGAGTTTTAAAGCATTTTCCCCATCACCATGGTGAGCATTTGCAGCAACCATGGCATTCCATGTCACAGGGTTCTTGTCAAGCAATCTGCTAAAGATATAGTTACTTGAATTGAGATCACCACACTTAGCATACATTGTGATAAGGGAATTCTTCACATAATCATCTGACTCAAAACCGGTCAGAACTATATTTGCGTGAAGTGGCATTCCATGTATCATTAGGGCAGCGGGAGCCGAGAAAGCACCAAGAACATTGACAATGGTGATGTAGTTTACAGGTATGCATCCTCCTCTCATCAACTTAAAAAACTTCACTGCCTCACCTGGTTCTTCATTTTCAGCATACCCACCAATAAGTGCATTCCAAGTAACCAAGTCTTGCTTAGACATTTTTTGGAAAACCTGTTTAGCTTCACACATCATGCTGCACTTTCCATACATGGTTACTAGTGCATTGCCAACAATCAAATTGTCATGGAGGCCAACTGTGATCACAAGAGCATGGACAATCTTTCCTTCAACAAGGAATTCAGGGTTCGAGCATGCAGCCAACGCACTAGAAAATGTCACGTAGTTCATTGCTTTTCCCATCTTATACAATTCAGCCAACACTTTTAAGGCATCTAGGCACTTCCCATCCAGAACATAGCCAGCCATTATGGAATTCCATGATATTAAGTCCCTCTCTGGCATTTCTTGGAACAATTCTTCAGCATCTTTAGGTCTTCCAGCCTCAGTGTACATAGTAAGAAGAGTGTTACATACACAAACATTTGAATCCAATCCCAATTTAACTACCATTCCATGAATCCCACTGCCCCACTTCAAATTATCCTTGGTACCACAGACTGATAACAGAGTGGAAAGTGTGGTTGAATTTATTTCATTATGAACAAGACGCATCAAATGAAAACAACTAAGTGATTCCTTGAAAAGCACATTATGTACATAAGCTGAAACCATTGAATTCCATGAAATTGTGTCTCGTTCAATCATGTGATCAAAGACATAGCAGGCATCTTGTATGCTACAGAAACTGCCAAACATTGAGATGAGAGAGTTTGCAACAGAAACATTAGTCTCATATCCAGTCTTTATAACATGTGCAAGCATTTGACGACCCAGCAACTCATCCTCAAGCAATCCACATGAACTAAATATCGTTGTGAAAGTATTTTGGTTACAACCAACCCCTTCGTGCCTCATTTGTTGATATATATTTAAAACCTCCCTGGAATCTCCAATGTCCAAATATGCAACCATCAATGAACTCCAAGAAACTACATTTCTTTCCGGCATCTCCTCGAAAAGCCTCTTAGCACGAGAAAGAAACCCATATACGCCATAAAAATGCAGCAACGCAGTGCCCACAAACACATCCCACAACAAGCCAAGTTTGAGTACAAAACCATGAATTTGAAATCCTTCACAAACCATATTCACTGACCGACTGCATGCAGCCATCAAACTGGCAATCAAATACCCACTTGGCTCAATTCCTTGACTGCACATTTGGGGAAACAAACTAACTGCATCTGGGTATAAACCCACTCGGACATACCCAGACACCATGGTGTTCCAAGAAGTTCCATTCCTCTCGGGCATTCTATCAAACAAGTACTGGGCAGGTTTGATTTTTCCAAACTTGCAATACATGTTGATCAATGTATTCATATAAAAAGTGCCTAAATGGGTCGAACCCTTTAACCAAACTCCATGTAATGCTTTCCCAACAATCTCATGGGTGATTTCTGAGAAACCCTTCTGGAGAAAACTCGAGATCTCCGGGTTTGGGTGCTGGGACAGGGAATGAATTCCATGGCCTGCAGTTTCTTCGAGTTGGGGTTCGAAGTGGGTGGGCAGGGAAAATCTCGATGAAGAAGAAGTCGTGGAGAATTCAGAAAGAGAACCAAACATGAGAGAGGATAGATTTTTCTTATAGAATTTAGCCAGCTTTGGTTGCTTTGTTGATGTTTTGTTGTTGCTACCATTGAACTTTGTGAACAAAAATCGCATTTAATTGTTCAAACTTTCAAAGACTTTTTGGAAGAGGATTTGGATCATTGGTGCTTCAAATTTCTTTTGTTTCTTTACCCAAATCTTTGAATGACTTGACTTCTTCTTTGTCCTCTTCCATTTTAAACTATTAATCTACCAATAGAAGAAAAAAAAATGTAATCAAGGTAAATTATTGACACAAATACTATTGAAAACATCTATATCTACAGCTATCTAGAATAAAAATCAAATACTAGAACAATATTTATTTATACTATTCTATAATGCTCACAAACAAGTAAAATATTATCTGAACAAAATAAACATACTACAGTAAAAAATAACAACAGCATCCTCAGAATATCCTATAGATTGGCGGCCAATCAAGAATGAATGATCTTAATAATAATTAGGATAAATTATTAGCAGGTCCTAATAGTTAGACTTAATTCCTATTAAATCCTATCAATTCATCACTGAAAGTTGGTCCTAACAGAAAACCAAACCAAATCATACCAAGTCTTAAATCTTATCAAATGGGGTCGGCTATATGAATCATTCTTTTCCACTTGACTCTATCCAAGGCCATTTCGTTAGTCAAATTAAGGAGATTCATATTTTTATTTATTACACTAGCCCACGTCAATCTAGATCCGCCCATTCCCCTAGCACTTCCTTCTACTATCACTGTATCATATCTCTTCACTACTGCTTCTATTGGTCTCTGTTGTATATGACCAAACCATCTCAATCTATTCTCTCTCAACTTATCTTCTATCGGTACTACTCTTACCCATTCTCGAATATATTCATTCCTAACTATCTTTTTTAGTCTTACCATACATCCACTTTAACATCCTCATCTCAGCAACATTCATATTATCTACATTGAGCTGCTTAGTTGCCCAACATTCCGACCCATACAATATCGCTGGTCTAATAGCCGTTCTATAGAACTTCCCTTTTAGTCTAGTGGGTACGCATATATCGTACAGTACCCCAAACGCATACCCTGCCTTAATTCTATGGACTACATTTGCTCCAATCTCCCCAGCCGTTGTGATAATCGATTCTAAATAATGAAAATGTTCACTCTTAGCAATTTTTTTTTGTGATGAATTTTTCAAGCTGTTACTAAAAAATAATAATTAGTGATTTTTTTGAGTTAATTAACTAAAAGTCCTATTTACAAATGTTATGGTAGCTCAGATCCCATTTAAGATTTTTTGAATCAATAAGTCTTATTTAGTAAACTGAGCCAATTTTTAAAACTAAGAACATTATCAATTTTGTATAGTAATGTTCAGATAATTGTTTCACTAACCGATAAAAAAAAAAAAGAGCACGAAATTACACGTTTTTACCCGTCTGCTTATTGGTTTGATTCAACTATCCAATAAAACCAAAAACATTAACAGTTTATTTCCAGTTTTAAAACTAAGAATAGTATCAATTTTTTCATTTTTAAAATTTTTTTTTTTTCCCAGTTTTGCACATCAATGTTCCATCATCATACTCCTTTATAGACACAAAATTTTTAGTTTTGTACAAAAAAATAACTCAGCTTTTTCAATTTTTTCCAAAAAAAAAAACATCATTTTTTTTTTTTTTGCGCATATTTTAACATCATTTTTTTTTTTTTGCGCATATTTTATTTTTTAGTTTTTTAAATTTGAAAGTTGATATTTTAAAGTTTTGAAAATCAAAATAAATGTCAAATCATCATGTTCCTTTATAGATAATCATAAATGATGAACAATCATTGTTTAAAAAACAATTCCGATTATTAAAATTTAATGAAACTTGAAGGTCCAAAAAATCTTAGTTAGGACTTAATAGAATATAAGTTCATAAATTAGAACTTGTATGTAAATGCCTCAGTTTTTTTTTTATATAAAAATGTCGTTAATTATCACACGAACTATTGGGACCCGCACGTAAGTCCCCTTAATAATCAGTACTCATTATTATAGTAAACATTTAATATGTCAAATTATCAGGGGAGCCTTCATTAACTTCAAAAGACTTGTATAATTATATGAAAAGTATGTGACAATGCTTGAAAGTATGTAGGTATTTGTTTGTTGAGAAATACAAAATGTGTCATCTTATAAGTCTTCAACTCTACAACAATAAAATTAAAAAAAAAATGGAGAATAAACCTAGTTATAGTTATGGGTCTGTGGTTCAATTATTAGATCAATTAGAATCAAACTTTTTGTTATGTTCCACCGGACCATGTTTATAAAATCAATTTCTATCTGCATAACAATAATTATGATGAATAAATAAATAATCGAACACAGTAAAGTAAGTCCTTCTTTAACCAGTAACATCAAGACGGCACATAAATGGCAGGTTGATATACATCCAGAAAAATAGTAAGGTTTTTAAGAATAAAAAGCACTGAACCAGATTGAACCAGATTTGATGGAGAAAAATCATGAATCATACATATACATGCAGAGAGAGAGAGAGAGAGAGAGAGATTGCCTCTTCTGGAGCGGTCTCGCCGTGCGCCGTTGGTGGAGCGGTGTCGCATTCAGGGAGAGAGATAGGTCGGCTGGGTGAAGGGTGAAGAGAGAGAGTCTGAATGGGGGGTTTATATATAGGGTTTGAGGCCTCGTTTGGGAACAGGTTAATTTAGTAATTTTTTGGCTATTTGGCTAAAATATGAGCTAAAAAAAACTAGTATGTTTGGGATGACTTTTTAACTTTTTACGAAAAGATGGACAAAAAGTAGAGAGAAAAGAGAATATTTGACTTTTTGGTATAGGTTGTTGGCTTTTTAACTAATTTAGTAACTTTTTGACTTTTTGATTAAAATAGAGGGTTCCCAAACGAGGCCTTAGTTTACATTTGAGGTGGTTTGATTTTTATTTTTTATTTTGATTAGGGTGACAGCTTCTCTATACTTCGAAATCAGATTGGACAACATTGTTGGCCGATGCTGGGCTCAATTCTGGGTTCATCTCAATAGTTTAAACTGCTAGTGTGTAGTGTTCGCCAAGTATTTTACCTTTGTAAAATATTAAATTGATCGGATATCGATAATTATTTGATCAGTCTATATTTGCTTCAATGGCAATTATGATTTTTAAAATAAATCACAAACACAAATACAAATTGATGAAGTGACTATCGACATGTAATTAATTTAATTTTTTGTAAAGGTGATGTTCTCGGCAAATTCTATATATTGAACGGTTTGAATTATCGAGATCACCCCAAATCGAGTCCAACATGACCCAACAATACTGTCCAATCTATTTTCCTTTAAAATATTTTTTAGAAATTCAATTTCTTAAAACTAATCTCTAATATATTAATTATTTATAATAAAAAAAAGTTAAAATTCAACTAGATTATATTTTTACTATTTAAAAATAAATAAATCTTAATTTATTTATTTTTTTGCTTACTAGATTGATTGTATAATAATGATCAAAGGAAAATGGGGAAAGCACCATTAAATCCTTAATTTGGGAATGTTAATCCATTTAGTCCCGACGTTTTTTTGTTGGACTAATAAGTCTTATTTTATGTGTAAAGACATTAGTACCCATTTTTTTACGCGTTTGGGTCAGTAATTGAGGGGGTAATTTTGGATTGGTGTTTATGTGTAATTTACCGAATTGCCCCAAAAGCTTACTATAGACCTTTTTTAGATTTCCCTCCTCTTCTAAACATCCGATGTTTTTGCTGTTTGTGGGTGTTTCAAACATTAGATTCATTTTAAAAAAATTTACCATCATCAAAACATCATAAAAAATCGACAACATCATCAAATCATCATCAAATATCATCGTGAACAACAGCAACATCAGAACATCATGAACATCATCGTGAACAACAGCAGCATGAGAACATCAGATTCATTTTTAAAAAATTTAGCATCATCAAAACATCATAAAAAATCGACAACATCATCAAATCATCATTTAAACATCAGATTCATTAATCTAACATCAGATTCATTGATGTTTGTGGGTGTTTCAAACATCAGATTCATTTTTAAAAAATTTACCATCATCAAAACATCATCAAAAATCAGCAACATCATCAAATCATCATCATGAACATCATCGTGAACAACAGCAATTCGAGGACTAAATCGGAGTGGCGGAGTAGATCGGCTTGGTGTGGGTCGACAGAGGCGGCGAAGCCGTGGTAGGCGGTGGTATAGGTGTAGAGGAGGGAGTCGGAATCAGAGAAGAGAGATTGGAGATGAGCGGAGTACCAGTCATGGTGGGTGGTTCAGCTCTTGTGGTGTGTGACCATCCCACAAACCCATCTGGGTGTCGAGACCGAGAAACTCAGGGGTTCGAGTGGTGTGGAGGTTGTAGACGGTGTCTTCGTAGACTCTGAGGACTAAATCGGCGTGGCAGAGTAGATTGGCTTGGTGTAGGTCGAGAGAGGCGGTGAAGCCGTGGTAGGCGGTGGTATAGGTGTAGAGGAGGGAGTCAGAATCAGAGGAGAGAGATTGGAGATGAGCAGAGTACCAGTCATAGTGGAGATGATAGTGGAGAAGCAGATTTTTCGGCCAGAGATTTGGAGAACTTGTTATAGACCTTTCTTTCGTTGAATTCGTATCATCATCATAAGGTTATTGTTCATATGTATACAGAGATTTGGGACTGCCTTCGTGGTTCGCAATCGTCTGCAATGTTTGTTGGGAAAAGGCCGATGATGTTTTGATGATGGTGATGATGTTGATGATGTTTTGCGATGTTGTTCGATGATGTCGATGATGTTGATGATGTTCTACCGGAGGGGCTGCCATTGTTGGAGAGATTGGGAGACCTGCAAAATGAAATCAATATAGGTAAAAATGTAAACTCCATATACAATATATCAAAAACATATATTATACCAAAAATAAAAATGACTAAATAGTTTAAGAAAAAACACTCAGGACTAACTAGAGCAACATTTATCAAAATAGGATTTATGAGTAATTTTTCCAATATTTTAATCATGGTAGAATTTTTATTTGGACTTTTTTTAAGTGTGCCTTGCATATGGTATGCAAGGCACTTACAGCTTTCTATGTTACCTTTACACCTTTTTGGGTATTGAGTTATACCC